AAATCTATCAGTATTTCTGCTACATTCAGAGAAGAAGACAGAGTCTACATAATTCATAATGGTAATTTTTTTTAAAGAACCATGGTAGTAAAAGAGAAAACTGGCCCCCTCCCAAAAAAAGAAAAGTGCTCTCCAAAATACCAACTTTTGATTTTCATTCAAAGGTACAGCTCAGAAATACTGCAATATCTGACCAATAGTTTCCACCTTTTCTAAATGTTCAACATGGTCCTGGGGTTCACCCAGCCTCCAGTACAACTGGGCTCTTTCCATACGGAAGCATGAAGCTATCACTTAGTTCCAACAAGCACCATGTGAAATATGTGTGAAGTTCTACCTCCATTCTCATACGCATCTTCACAGCATAAAGCTTACAAAAAGAACATGTTAGATATAAAAACTATGAATATAATTATTAAATTTAAGCTTACCATCTAAGCAGAACACTGTTTAGGAAAATTCAAATTTCTCATGATCTTACTTGACCGACAGCAACATGTTCACAATATCAGAAAGCACAAACATGTCTCAAACAATCCAGATCTTTTCAGCATTTATCCTTCTGGCAAAGCTGAAAGAACCCTCTTTCATTTATCTCTGATGATAGGATGGTAGAAATAATGCTCAGAAAAGATAACTACAGACTAATTTGAGTTCCAAATCATTAGGGTGATGGGTGGGGGCTGTGTACTGTTCACGGTTTGCATCACAATTTCAAGACCAAAGTAATTGGTAGCACACAACTGTTGAATGTATTGTGCTTTAACAGTATAAAGTTTGTAATAATAGTCTTCTTCTTTCATTCTGATACAGAAACCCTGGAGAAATTTTGGACATACTGCTGGAAGGCAGTGCAAAGCCAAAGAGTTTACTCCTCAATGCATGACCAGCCCACAACCCTAAGTCTCATCCTAACAATAAAACTGTGGCCATAAACATAATAATAAGATGAATAGCAGTCTCTCTCACATCATTGTAACTGTCAGGCAGATGTATTCTGTACAAGCCTCATAAACACAACATGCAGTGCCCTTAGTCCACACCAGAAATGATCCACGCCTCAGTCAATGTAACAAACACAACACAGGCAGTGAACATGTACAACAAAGTGTGTCACTGAGAAGTCATACAATAAGATACATATGTTTCATACGCTCTGTCCTGACATGTCAGACTGTCTCATACCTACATAAAAAGTTTAACCCAAACCACCAAAAGTCATTAAACAGGCTAATTTCTATCCCATGAGCTCAGTGTTTTTCCTGTCAAGTTGGTAGCAATTGTGCGAAGCGCACTGTCATACACTAAACATGGGAGTCATTGGTTTGTTCCTCTGTTGGGTCTTTTCTTCTGTCCGGTCCGTCTCTTGTCACGTCTGTATAGAAGTGGTGCTGTGGAAAGAAGATACACACATCAATGGAAAGGAAATGCAGAAGGAATAAAAGGGTCATTTACATATGCAATAAAGATAATTAACACCTTATTAAAAATAAACTGTTCATACTGGAAATTAGGCACTCAATTTGAGTACACTTCTTCTAATTCAACAAAAGTGTGAACAAATCTGTATCAACATACAAAAGAAATTAAACTATACAACATAAAAACATTCACGCTGTATCCACAGCAGTCTTCCAATATGTGTGGCAACGTTGTTGTGTAACTACTGGTTCATAAAGTTTCTGAAACTGTCCTAAACAGGACTGTTAATTGAAACACAGAACTTGATCACAACTTGTCCTCAATCCATGCCTCTGTGCAAAATCACAAAATCACAGCATGATTCTTCAAACTCAACACTGCACTCAGTCTTGTCTGAAAGACAGGTACTGTTCCATGCAGTGTCAATTTCTCAGAAAACAGTCCTGAAGAAGACGGTACCATGCATCGGCAGGTCAGATTGCTGCTTCCTTTCAGTGCTCCATTCATGTCATTTTCTCTGCATCGCCTCTTTTAAAAATAAGGCACAATATCGACTCCCTTTCTTCACTTGTGTTTGTAGCATACCTCTCCATTCTTGTCTGCACTCAAAGACCTCTTTATTAATGTCACTTTGCCTCTGTTAATTTAGGATTTAGTCAGGTGATAAGTCTGCTTCCCAGATTCAGCTGAAGCTGAGGCCTCTGAAGCTTGTTTTGTATCTATGGATATCTCTGTTACTGACAATTTTTTCTCCACTTTAACTACCTACGTAAGCCTCACAAAACCTACATACCTCTCCTCATTTGCAAGTACTCTCCCTTTCACTCTCTGTTTCCTGTTGCTCCCACTCTGGAGCATAGGGCAACCATGTATCACTCTGTTTCTCTTCAGTTTCTTAATCCTAGAACTGGTAGGACTCCTTGGATGGGGGATCAGACAATCGCAAGGTCACTACCTTCACAGAGTAAATGAAGACAAACATCCATGCCTTGAGCAGGATTCGAACCCATGATCCCAGCATTCAAGCCAGCAAAGACAGTTCATGTCTTAGACTGCATGGCCACCGTGACTGACACTTGCAAGTACAATATACCAGTAAAAATATAATACATACATGGTATCCTTATGTATGAATTGTTTCATATCCAAATAAACAGGTCACTTTCACCATATTTCTTCCCTCAATTCTAGTGTTTCCTGCATATTTTGGCTCTCCCACAGATACAAATCTTACCTAACCAAACATGTGTAACCAGTCTCTTACTTGCAATGTTCTGTAAGAGTGCTGTTCCATTCTTCAGCAGTTCAAATGCAATTCCTTAATGTTACCCAGGTTTATCACATCCCTTTACCTTCAACTTGTTCATTTCATCTGCACCCACTTAGGTAACTGCACTGGTAATACTATCAAACCACAGAAATAAATTTATAACTTTTTTTTCGAGTTTGTGGCAAACACTTCCAGTAATGGTAATATTTATATTTTATGATATGTGCTGATACAACCAGCTGAAAGGAAATGACACATTCACGCCAAAAGTTTAAATCCGCACACATAAAAGTGCACCAACTGGCTGAAGACCGAAGTTGGGAAGTTTTCATGGCAATTGAGATTTACATTATGATTTACTGGGTTATAACACATGTAGTCTGGTAGGTCAATACCAATGTTTTAGGGCGAAATGAAACATCCATCTTCAGGTTGGCAGAGTGTTTCTCTGAAACACAAATGGCCACCTGGCAGACTTCAGTATCATAACCACAAGACCATAGCCTAAAACAATCAGAGTCATAACACATTCCCTGTGATTACTTACTGTTTTCTAATGTTAGGAATACAACATTTCATTAGGAAGTGATGATGAATAACTTCTGCAAACAGCAGTCCCCAAGGGTGATATGAGACACTGTAGAATGACATTTCTATCCAGAGTGAACTACTACCAAAAGTCCAGTGAAAACACATCAAAGAACACAGTAAAGAAAAGCAAGGGTGGATATAAGACCAGCTGTTACAAAGTATGCTGAGTTCTGCTACAAGCAGTTACTGATTCTGAACAGGCCTCATGGTCTTCATGTTGCAGCTGATCAATAATTGTATCTAACACACTAAAACATAACTTGGAAGATTAGTTCAGCAGCATATGTATACCTCATTGTATTCAGCCATTACTTGTTCTGAGGCTTCCCATTGCACTGCTCAGTCTGTCCACATAAATATTACAACTTTCCTTCAAAAGGGTAGCATCACTTCCTCTATTAGCTATCCCTCATGCAACAATCCTTGCACCTAATTTTACATTACATAATTTCTGCATCTGTTACAGGAACTACTAAACCTATGATTAATGAACAACAGCAAATAAGCTTCATCAGTTTCTCCACTGGAATCAAACTGAATTAAAATGTGAAATAAGTCTTGAAATTGCATTGACACATATTGTCATTTAAATACACATCATCTCTCATCTCTTACAGCAAATTGTGATATGGAATAATAAAAAGTGCACTCTTCTACTTTCTGCTAACATCATGATTTGCTAATCATCTGCGCTAACCAATATATAAAAGAGATTTTAAAAACTACCAGGTATATGGTCTTCCCAGAATAGGTAACTGTGTTTTATTGTACATGAATCTCCCTGTTGTTACAGAACATGAGAAACCACAAAATCCACCACTGTCCACTGTTCCTAGCCATTTCAATTTGGTCTGTATAATCACAAAATATTTTTCTACAATTCATCACATTACTTGTCATCAAAATAAAACCTTCTGAAATCCATATCAGGTGTACCTCGTAGCACACATAAAACAGTGTATTTACAAAACAAATAATTCCATGAAGGACCCTTAAACACTAATGTAACCACACACGATGACTTGGCCTTGGCTGCTATTATACAAACATGCAGGTCAAAAAATGGTTCACAACAGAGACTGAAGTAGCACAACTGAATTATATGCCTCATACTTATACCAGGAAAAACTACTGATTTGGTTTGAGAAGAATTTGATCTGACAAGACACATATATTTCTTCTGACTCACACAACTGCCTAATTTATTAACTTATGGTTAAGGAACAAATACCAACATCTATGTTACTTACATGTGCAGACACATCCATAAATTTAACAACGATGAAAGAAAAAAAAAGACACAATATATCTCTTTTATATGTCTACCAATACTGATTATATTCGGAATTATGTACATTTTATTAAATTGTTTATATATTACAACTTCAGTTACATCTAATTACACCATATTCTGATTGTGATTTCTTTCTGAGGGAGAAGAAAATGCCACACATTTTGTTGAATACTTTCACGCTCTCAAGCATAACCTTTTGCTTATTCCACTTGTCTTCATTAAGCGCATAAAGTAAGCAATGCACAATTACTCACCCAGCAACTGATTATTAACATGCAAATAAGGTGAACACATACAGTACTGCAGTGTCTAACAGTACTGTGAAAATGGATGAAGGGCTTAGAATATGCACTACAGATCCACACTAAAACAATGCTCTGTCATAACACTGAGACATGGCCAAATTAAGTGACATTAACTTACCTCTAAGGATCATGGTCATCCATACGCAGTCGCTTCCTGCGATCGTCATTCCGTGGATCAGCAGCCATCACCTTCAATCGAATTCCACACACTTCTTGCCCATGAAGTGTCTGCAATGACAGTTATAAGTGTTCAGTATAACATGATTTGTTCCACTGAATCTCATTTGACGCTCTAGTATATTTTAGTGGCATAAACTGTAAATAATACTGCACAATCAAGGACTGTGTATGTGCCTTTCACATAAAGCCATACTTACAACACTTCCTTCCAAAAATCTACTTCCACTCTCTTAACAGAATACTGTATAGTACCATAATGTAGAGGTTTATTAAAATATTTAGTGACTGCTGGAACACTGGCATCGTGATTGTGTTCCAAACAGCAGACAATTACCTGCATAGCTTGTTCAGCTGACTCTTTGCTGGCATATTTTGCATAGCCACAGATCTTTCCACTCAACATATATACGTCAATCAGATTCCCAAAACGCCCAAATACATCTCTCATTGCAAACATTGGGGGTGGGCCCGGGTGGCACACAATGAACAACCTGGAAAAGCAACAAAGTGCTGGATATCAGTACAAGGGAAGACTGCAAAATGTACATGGGAATAAACTGTGTGTGTAATGGCAACGTTAAAACAATAGCTATTACTGAAATTTATAAAGTATCTCTAAGTGTCTAGTCTTCATCTAAAGGTCAAATACTCTTATCACTGGCTGTTATAACTGCTCAAGTAAGTTGTGATTGGAAGAAATGTATCTCTGTTTTTTCATGGTGAAGCAGATAATGACCATTATGACGCTCTGTTGTCAGCTGAAGAAATACAGACATTAGACACTTTGAGAAACTTTGTATTTCATTAGAGATTTTGCTGAAAATATTTCATCTACACAGGAAAAGCATATTGTTATTCTACTAAGGTTAGCTTCACACCAAAAATATAGAATTCTTTCCAATCTGGGCATTTCTGATGAACTTTGTCCTTAACTTCCCAAAGAAATTTCAACAGATTTTATTCCAATTTCCTATAAAAGCTACCTCACATTACAGCTGGTACAGTACAACAATCGTATGAAGTTTTCCAGCAGACCAAGCAATTCAAAATTATTTGGGAACACCTCATAAGTATATGTTCATAAAGGGCATGATGGGTGATCTAGCACTATGTAAAAATATTCACAGTGTGTATTGCAGTAAAATGTACAGAAATACCACTTACATCACTACAATTACATATCTAATGAAACAGAAAATAGAAAATAAATTTAAATATAGTGATTTCTCACTGAAAAATTATTCATGTCACAGCTTACTGTACCATTATGGCCACCAAGATGTTCATTTGGCAATTTCCAGGCATGTTATATTTGGGTAGTTGTTCACTTTCCTGATAAAAACTGTTTCTCTTTTCTTATTATTAATGGTTAAAATTTTATTTGCATTTTTCCATATGTTTTTATGAACTGGGGAGTGGCCCAAGGACTTTACAGAAGTGACAATGATTGCCTTAAAGAAAAAGACAAAAGCTACAAAATGCAGCAACCATCGCACAATAAGCCTTACTGCACATACAGCAAAGATAATAGCAAAGATACTTAAAACAAGAACTGAAAAGAATAGAGAGGATATACTTGGAGAGGATCAGTTTGGATTTAGAAGAGGAAAAGGAACCATGGATGCAATTGGGATGACGAGAATTACAGCAGAACGAACTTTGGAGATAGATGAAGAACTGTGTGCTTGCTTTATAGACAGGCAGAAGGCATTTGACCATGTAAATTGGACAAAATTAATGCAGATCCTAAAGGAAACAGGTATCGATTGGCGTGAAAGAAGATTGATTAGTAAATTGTACATGGATCAGAAAGTTAGAGTGCGACTGAACAGAGGAGAGACAAGAAGTGCGAAGATTGGAAGAGGAGTTTGACAAGGATGCTGTTTATCACCAATTTTGTTCAACTTGTACAGCAAATGCCTTACCAAAGAAGCTCTGGACAGGCTTGGAGACTTCAAATTAGGAGGGCAATTATTCAAACTGTGAAATATGCAGATGACCTTGTGTTAATGGCTAAGGAAGAAACTGTGCTACAGGGTATGATTGATAGACTAATCAAAATTGGAAGGTGCTATGGCATGGAAATGAATGTGGAAAAAACAAAAGTAATGAAAATTTTGAGACAACCAACCCCAGTCACAATAAAGATAGACCAAAAACAACTGGAGAATGTGAAATGTTTTAAATATTTGGGTAGCTTGTTAACAGATGATGGAAGGTGTACTTGTGAAATTAAATCCAGGATTGCCATGGCAAAAGCTGCATTTAGCAAGAAGAAGAATCTTTTTACCAGCAAATTGGACTTAAATTTGAGGAAGAAACTAGTGAAATGCTACATTTGGAGCATAGCTCTGTATGGGGCTGAAACATGGACACTTAGGGCAGTAGATCAGAAACATCTGGAAAGTTTCGAAATGTGGTGTTGGAGAAGAATGGAGAAGATCAGTTGGACCGATTATGTGAGAAATGAAGAAGTGTTAATTAGAGTCAGTGAGCAGAGGAATATCCTACATGAAATAAGAAAACGGAAGGCTAATTGGATTGGTCATATCTTACGCGGTAACTGCCTTCTAAAAGAAGTTATTGAAGGAAAGATAAAGGGGCAGATAGAAGTGACCAGAAGACAAGGAAGAAGACGTAAGAAGATGCTGGATGGCCTTGGGGACAGAAGAGGATATTTTCATTTGAAGGAGAAAGCTCTAGATCGCATCAAGTGGAGGAACTGTTTTGGAAGAGACTGTGGACCTGTTGTCTTGACAGATTACAGATGAATGAATGAATGAATTATGAACTGAAGAACCGTAAGCCATGGCTTGATGATGAATGCTCAAAATTATCATATAAAAGGAAACAAGCCAAACTGCTGCGATTACAGGATCCAAACGAAATAAATGGGGATAATCTGAACAGTGTGAGACGCGAAGCCAGCAGGAATTTCAGGAATAAAGGGCAGGAATATCTGAAACACAAAATTAATGAGTTCACAACAAACATTAAGAACAAAAACATCAGAGACATCCACAGAGGAATACCTGAATTTAAGAGGGGTTACAAACCTAGAAGTAACTTAGTGAAGGATGAGCATAGTGTTCTTCTCGCACATTCCCACAACAATTTGAATAGGCGGAAGAACTACTGAATGTTCACTGAATGTTCATAGGGTCAGTGATGATAGGCAGAGAGAAATATATACAGCTGAGCCTTTAGTACCTGATCATAGTACTTCTGAGGTTGAAATTGTTACTGCAAAGTTGAAAAGATATATGAGGTTGTATCAGAAAGTTCCTAGACTGTTACTGTTGTTAACTGTCTCAGTGAAAGAAGATGAGAGGGGAGGCCAAGGTAACACTTCTGCAAGCCTATTGCATCAGTCAGCCATGTGACAATGCGCTGTGTACATGCATTATTTTTATATCAGTGCTTTTTGGACTTCGTGTTTCATTTTGTCTGCAATGGATGGCAAGTCTGAGCAACGCGCCTGCATAAAGTTTCGCGTGAAGCTTGGTAAATCCGCTACTGAAACCCTTGAAATGCTTTGTGAGGCTTTTGGACAACATTCTTTAAGCTGGATAGCAGTTTTTGAGGGGCATTCATGCTTCAAGGCTGGTCAAGTGTCAGTTGAAGACGACGAACGTTCAGGTTGACAAAGCACCAGTAAAATGATAGAAAATGTTGAAAAATTTGAGAAGTCATCCAAGAAACACAGTTGCCAAACAATCCATGAGCCTGTATACACCGTTGGGATCAGTTATAAAATTTAACAGGGATTTTAACAGAAAATTTGAACATGTGCCACAATGCCACGTAGTTTGTTCCCCCAACTCTTGACAGATGATCAAAAGCAGTGGCACGTAAACATGTGTCTTGAGCTACAAGAGAAGCCCAACAAGGACCCAACTTTTACTCATATCTCTAGATCATAACAGGTCATGAAATCTGGATTTATGGTTATGATCCAGAAACAAAGCAATAATCATCACAGTGGAAGAGGCCACAATCACAAAGAGCAAAAAAGGCACAGCAGGTCTAGAGTTCAACAAAGAGCATGCTCATTTTTTTATGTGAAGCAGATTGTTCACTGTGAATTTGTTCCTCCTAACACTATGGTTAACTCTGACTTTCACTGTGATGCTTTGGGACGAGTGAAAATGTGCGCAACTGCAACTGGCTTCATCACAACAAAACGCCCGTCCACACGTTCCTGAAAACGACAGAGTTTGTGACTCACAGCAACATGGTTATGATTTCCCATTCTCTCTACTTGCCAGACTTAGCCCCTTATAATTTTGCTTTGTTTCCTAAACTGAAAATAAAACTGAAGGGACACTTTGAAACATTGTCTGACACCCAAAGGAAATCAAAAGCTGTACTTTACAGCATTAAAGAAAATTATTTCCATGGTGCTTTAGATGCATGGAAAAAATGATGGGATTGCTGCATATGTTCCCAAAGGGACTATATTGGAGGAGATGGCAGCCAAAATTGAGTAAGTTAAGCCAGCATTTGTTTTTTGACCTAGTCCGGGAACTTTCTGATTGACAGGTAGTGATCAAATTCTGGCAGAATTGATTCAAGATGGAGCTGAAACATATGTTCTAAGAACCATATGCTAATTAATTCTCTTTAGAATAAGGAAGAATTGCCTGATCAGTGGATGGAGTCTATTACTATAGCAATTTACAATATGGGCGATAAAACTGACTGTAGTAATTATTGTGGGATGACACTGCTATCAATTTAATACAATATCTTATCCAGTACATTCTCTCAAGGTTAAGTCCATACATAGATGAAATTACTGGGGATCATCAATGTAGGTATCAACATAACAGATCAACTATTGACCAAATCTTTTGCATTTGTCAGATACTGGAGAAAAAATTGGAGTACAATGAGATAGTATATCAGCTATTCACAGATGTCAAGAAAGCCTATGATTAAATTAGGAGGGCAGTATTGTACAATATTCTCATAGAGTTGGAGTGAAACTAGTTAGGCTGATTAAAATGTATTCAAACGAAATGTACAATAGAGTCCGTAGAGGTAAACATTTGTCTGATAATTTTCCTATCCAGAATGGTCTAAAACAAGGAGATGATTTATCATCACTGCTTTTCAACTTTGTTTTAGAATATGCCATTAGAAAGGTCCAGGAAAACCAGGTGGGACTGAAATTAAATGGGACACATCAGCTTCTGGTCTATGCTGAGGATGTGAATCTACTGGATGATAATATAGATACCACAAAGAAAAACACAAAAACTTTTAACTGATGCTACTAAGGAGGTTGGAAAGTTCTTGAGTATCTGCACAATTGGCAGCTTCTCAAAAGGTCTTGGCTCCATGAGGGTAGTCAAATGTTGCTTACCATTTATTCTAATAATAAATATGGACACTGATTTACCTGATTCACAAGTAAAATGGTAGATCTCAGAAAATTCAGTAATAGACCATTAACAGTTAATCTGCAAATATTCAAATTTGGATGAAAAGTATGAAATATAAAAATTAACAACAAACAAAATGAAACCATAAAACCATCAGAAATAATGACTGATGATTGCTTAGGGTCAGTGTTTTTAAATACTACTGAAATGAAAGACAGATAACACCACACAGGGAAGACCATTAAGTCTGGCTCAGTTTCATGTGCTTGAGCGCCAGTCAACTCAAGACAAATCATCCATAATCATCTATTATATGTAGCTGAAGTTTTTAACAAGCGAGTCAGCTTTACTGAAAAACATAATAAGCAGGTAAAATATTATTTTAATTATACTAAAATTGTACTTAAAAAGGAAATCTTTTTATACAGAGAACATATTACATGGCTTAAAATTCATGTGCCTCACAGGGGAATCCTTTCTTCACATTATCTGAATATCTTAAACAAGGTATCACCTTACATAGGACTTCCTACATTGCGTCCACTGTACATGCAGATGAAACATGGACTTGGACTAACAAGGATCTAAACAAATTGAAGGCGGCAACTATCAGACTCCTGCCAAGATTGACAAGAATGAACAGAAGAGAGAATAAGGTGAGATGAATCCAGTATGATTTTTAGATAAATTATTGTAGATAACAGAATGAAAATACTCAAATGGAAATTAATATCCAAAGAAAAGTTCAGATATGAAATAAAAACATCTTGGAAGGCAAAATACCACGAGCATCTTGGTAAAACGGTAAACTGAGAAAACAGGGAATAGTCTGGAGGCAAATAAGAGTAAAGACTGTGTATAGAGAGGAGCAGAAAAGACTTCCTAATATAATGACCCACAATAGCGGAGAAATACATGAATTATGATGACACTGAAAATGAAACAACCCAGTAACCTGAAGCACCTACATACCTTTCAACAGTTTCAGCATCCATAGGTGCAAGCGGCTGAGGTTCAGGGAGTTTAACCGAGCAGTATGTAGGGTCATACGTTTCACGTGTCTGTCCTGCACTGTTTGCTCCACCTGCCGAACGGAACACACACATTGCGACACATCACACACTACATGATAAGTGAGAAAACTAATCTCTGAGCATATCACTATGCAATTACATGGAACCATCTTTTCAGGTTCCTGATTTGAATGTTAGTTATCCTGAGATTTTTCAAGGGTTGTAATCCCTCAAAGTCAACAATGGCACAACGTCTTGATATATGTCATGATTATTATATCGTGCATCTTTTCCAGCAGTAGACATAATGACCTGTCCTCATCTGATTGCTCACAACTTCTTATAACAGAGATGAAAGATGACTATATAGAATTTAGTTGAGAGATAGATGAGGAAGTTGAAATGACCTATTTCAAAACAGTTACTGCAACCTTCTCTGAGAAAATCCACTATCCCAAACACAATTAAAATAAACAGCATTACACTGAGACAAACTACTCAGATTGCTCCCCAATGAACAACTCAGATAACCACTTTACATGAAACTACAAATACAGACTTTCAAATTCGCTCCTTATGAAAGCAGAAATGTGTATCTTCTGCGGATCAGGGTTGATAAATTCTGGGTGCGCTCTACTCCTTTACCAGCTACAATCTTTATATTGCCATGTGATATTAGTAACTACAGATGGGGTTTGGATTGGTAAATGGATTTATTGAACACTTACAGCTTGTAACTGCTACTGGAAAGTTCCAGGACTTGGTCAAAAAATGCTGGGTTAACTTAATCAATTTTGGCTGTCATCTCCTTCAAAATGGTCTCCTTGGGAACATATACAGCGATCCCATTGTTTTTTCCACGGTACAAAAGCATCGTGGAAGTAATTTTTCTTAAAGCTCTCAAGTACTGCTTGTGATTCCTTTGGATGTCAAATACCATTCCAAAAAGTCATCCCTTCAGATTTATCTTCAATTTAGGAAACAAGGCGAAATCACATGGGGCTAAGTCCGGCCAGAAGGGAGGATGGGAAGTGATAACCATGTTCTTGTTACTCATACACTCAACTGTTTTCGGGGATGTGTGGGTGGGCACACTGTCATGATGAAGGAGCCAGCTGCAGTTGTGCTAAAGTTCTGGTCTTTTTTGTCACACATTTTCTTTCAAGCATCTCAAAATGTGACAGTAACCATCACACTTGACCACAGTATTAGGAGGAACAAATTTATGGTGAACAATCTCCTTCACATCTAAAAAAAATAATGACCATGCTCTTTGTTGAACTCAGGACATGCAGCGCCTGATTTGCTCTTGGTGATTGTGGGTTCTTCCACTGCAACAATTATTGTTTTGTTTCTGGATCACAACCACAAATCCGACTTTTGTCACCCGTTATGATCCTAGAGACATGAGTGAAAGCTGGGTCCTAGTTAGGCCTCTCTTGTAGCTCAAGACACACATTAACATGCTGCTGCTTTTGATCATCTGTCCAGAGTTATAAACAAACTTTGCGGCAAAGTGACACATGTTCAAACTTTCTGTTAAGATCTCCTGGCAAACTCCATAACTGATCTCAACGGTGTCTGCCAGCTCATGGATTGTTTGGCGATCATCTTCGGGGATGAGTTCTCGAATTTTTCAACATTCTCTGTCATTTTGCTGGTGCTTGGTTGCCCTGAACGTTTGTCATCTTCAACCGACACCTGACCGGCCTTGAAATGTGAATGCCATTCAGAAACTGCTTTCCGGCTTAGAGAATGCTCTCCAAGAGCCTCACAAAGCATTTGAAGTGTTTCAGTAGCATCTTTACCTAGCTTTAACCAAAATTTGATACAGACATGTTGCTGAATGTTGCCATCCATTGCATACAAAATGAAATACTAAGTCGAAAAAGCACTCGTGTAAAAGAATGCATGTTCACAGAGTGGTGTTACATGGCAGACAGATGCAATAGGCTTGTGGAAGTGTGACCTTGGCCTCTCCTCTCATCTTCCTTCACCGAGGCAGTTATAACAATAACAGTTCCAGGAACATTCCGACAGAACCTTGTACAAGTAACTAGAGCACTATCACTAATTCACACACACACTACAATTCACTACAGTAGGCACTAAGTCTTCTCGGTCTGCTATATCTTCATCGGTTGTCGTCTTCCAACACCATAGCTTACTCAGCTTCCATGTTCATGTCCTTACTGGCTGGCAACTGTCTCACAACTAACTCCTACTCTTCTGACTGCCATCTGAAGACTCTCAAATCGACTTGACTCCAATCCACTAAGTGAACTCAATTCTGTCAAGGGATATTGCCTCTAAGCAGACTCAACAGAAAACTCTGTTCCTCTGCTGATGTGGGTGGCATGGTATCACGTGTTCTATTGCAGCAGCACTGTCTGCCTGGTGCTGGACCACGTGGCCCCACCACTTGCCACAGCTCTCCTACTGTTGCGCGACATCACCAAAGATGTGATGTGCTCCCCTGTTGCGTGTGCAATCAATTTACACAGGTAAGTTGTTTACAGTGCTGTAACCCAGTAACGGCACTCTACAAGCTACAATATCACTATAAAGAAACAGACACCTCAGAGGGGGACTCCTTCACCATTCTGGAAAGAGGCTACAATGGTCAAAAGACTGTCACTGGATATATTACCTTGGGTGAGGCCAGCTGCTTGAATGATGGATGTGGCCTGTGCAATAGTTTCAGCAAGAGTTGCAAGATCTGTCTGAAGACCTGAATTACGAGCTATAGTTGTGGGAGGCCCAACATTGGAGGGTATTCGAGGGGAAGATGCACCAGCATATGGATTCCTCCCCATTGGACTCCCTCTAGAAAGATGTGACCTATGAAAAGAAGACAGTGTATATTCAGTACAGAGGCATGAAAATAAACTGTGTTCTGCCACATGTCTATCAAGACAGACTGAATTCAGCCTCACAAATATATTTGTAATACCAGTAATTATTAAACTCAGAGACTATGAAAAACGAAATACCAACATAAACAAACAGCAATGTTTTTGAATACTGATCTCTGTAGAACTGTTCTCTATCACAACTGTTAAATGAAGGTCTGTTCCTGAATTGTATTTGCTATCCTACTGAATATGAAGAGAAAAACAAGACAATATGGAAATTCAAAACTTATACACAATACTGTTCTATTTTTCTCACTTACAGAGGCAAGTCATTATGAAGATTTATTTCAGGCTTCACAATCAGTCGCTGTCCTGGTGGGTACTCAAACCCATGCAGTTTCTCCTTGGCATATGCTGCTGCCTGTGGACTGCCATATACAACTATTGCCTGCCCCTTGCCCTGAATAAACAGGAATCACAACTGCAACTCAATGAATATGGATATTATTTAGGGGACCCAAGTAATCCTCTACCAAGATGGCAAACTCAAATTCTGATTTGGGAAAATAATAAAATGAAGTGTCACTTAGCACCTTAGGGCTAATGCAGCTGCCAAAGTCCAAGCTAAGGGAAACCAACAATGCCATACTTGGAGGTACCAGGAATTAAGGGTAACATTAAGAACAATACAATAAAGGAAAAAAATCAGTACATTATAAGCGTTTAATTGTGGGGGGGGGGGTCCAACTGCATTTCTTATACAACTAAATTTCTCAATTTTAACACCAAGAAAATTGATTTTAGTACGAAATCTAGTATTTTAATGATACAGCTGCCCTCCAATTTTATGTTTTAATACTAGGAGCTCTGTGTACTAAAAATCCAATCATAATACCATTAAATCTAATATAAAAAAAACACAAAATACAGATTTAAAGAACCACTTCTAAACAAGAATTTCTCATGACAATGGCTGATAACAGAGCCACCTGATGAGAGAACACTATATTCAACCATTGCATGTAGTGGTCCATCCATGTACTGTGTTACCATTATCTCATGCAACATCATTACAATTGTTTTTTTAATATATCTTCATCTGACAGTAAAAAACCACATGAAAACTATTGCTGTGGAAGCAGATCTGGGTCCTGAATGACAGATCCAATTGCGGGATACAATTACAAACTTACAAGTCATTAAAATAAAACAATATACTATAATGCAGCATAGGTGATGTTACTCATTATGAACATAATGCAAGATTCACAGCTGTATTTGAATAACTGGCCACTTCATCCTCAGCAAACACGCTATGACTAATCAAATCCACACGACATATTCCATTGTATTTGAAATATTTTTGGTGTGTGAAATCAATGCAGCATAAGCAGTTACTATGTTACGTACAAGTCTAGACTTGGTATCAAGATGAAGGAAATCCAAGCCAGGGACAATGTCAAACAGCCTCCACAACTGATCCTGATTCAAGCTTGGTGATGCAATCACTCGAAGTGAAGTGTAGCCTTCTGGATTGCTGAAACTTGCTACTTCTGATCAAACAGAGAAATATATATATCAACATGGTTTCCATTCTGCTTTAATCTTATGTTGACAAGGTAACATTCTGACATTCACTACAGGAAAATCTCATCTAATCCAGTGGTACACCCAACATTGAGATATGTTCAGTCTTAAGAAATGGAAATTACATACATTACCTTTCCATTTCAGTCACCTCTTTTTTGTTCCCAGTCACTCTCAGAAGAAAAAGAGTTACAATTCACAATTCTTCACATCATATTAGTTACCAAAGATACAGGACAAGAGAAAATTTTCAGCTATAGAATTTACTCTAGCAAAGCACTAATGGTAGCAGTGACACGAGAGTAACACAAGTTTTTGAATTACATACTCATCTCATCTTACAGCAGGGTACACATTTCCTTTTCCACTTTAAATGTGGGGTGGGGGAACATAAAATAAAAATGTATAAGGTCTAGAGTTCAATACCAAATGTAGACTAACTTCAAGGAGCTAAGCCCTTCTTGAGAAGCCACCAGTTGTGCAGCTACTCAAGAACTTCCCAGCATTTTAGGGAACCAGAAGTTCATTACCACGTTCACAAGAGCCCTCCACTGGTCCCTGTCCTAAGCCAGATCAAGCCAGTCCATACCACCCCATCCTATCTCTCTGAAATTCATTTTAATATTATCCACCCACATACGTCTTGGTCTTTCTAGTGGTATCTTTCCTTCTGGCCTTCCCACCAACATCCTACACTTGATCGTTCTAATTATGCTTGGATAAGAATATAAGTTATAAAGATCCTCATTATGCAGTTTTCTCCACCCTCCTGTCACTTCATCTCTCTTTGGTTTAAATAATAATGTCAAGACCATGTTTCACACCCATACAGAACCATAGGCAAAATCATGGTCTTTATATTCTAATTTTTATGTTTTACACAGCAGGCAAGAAGACAGAACCCTTATTCTGTACTGAATAGTAGCAAGTATTACCCATATTCAATCTCTTCATTTCCTCCTAAATAAAATTTTGTTTTATTACTGTTGCTCCCGAATATCTGAACTGTGCCACATTTTCAAAGGATCTGTTAGCCATCTTCATGCCATGATTTTGTCCTGCATTCTGGTGATGAGATACTAACATATACTTTGATGAAACTTCTACTGTGCCCTCCCCATTGTTTATTTTACTACCAGAATTTTGATTCTTTCATTCTGATGTGTGTGTAACATGTGAATACTTATACTTTGCCATTCCCATAATTTAGTTTGCTCCTCCTCTTTTGTAACAACTCATAAAGAAGTTATGGTACTGTTGTGTATGGCAGTTATTCAGTGAGTTTGTTTATATATATTTAACAGCAATGTTTAACTTTTGTGGCCTGTATTGTATATTGTCCATGGGAATTCCACCCCTTATATGGTTCTGTATAGCTATTTTCATCCCAAAACAATGTGAAACTGATAATGAACTGATCTTGATACAATATATGTTGGTCTTACCATGAACAGAAGTCTGATTTGTTCCTTCCCACTTTCTTTGAATTATCTGAGGAATATGAACACAGTAGCATATTTCAGAAGCTTTTACTGTGAAACACTACACCTATTGTTAATACTTCACATATTCAGTCTCTTTCGATCTTCAGACATTCTGTCTTTGGGAGCTGAAATGATCAACTGAACAAGACTGTTTTCAGGACAAAGTTTTCCAGTATCTCCAATCTGTCACATTTTCACAAATAGCAAACTTTTTTCCTTTTGCTCTGTTCCAGTTTTCTTCTGCACATTCAATCACTCTTAATTTACACAATGTATAAAGATTCCACACCAAACACATTTTATGTTACTGCAGATGATAAACACATTTGCAACTGGGGTCAACATAAAATAAAAAAAAAATTCTGAAAATAAATATTGCCACAACTGTCCCAATCATGAATTATTCTGGCTGAAAAATGCATGTAAATTGAAGAGACATAATTTGTAAGATAAGAAAAAGTCAACGGACATTTTACATTCAAAAATTAAAAGTACTAATGTTCTGCCATAATCACATAAAAACGGAAATCCCTTTGATACGCCAAATCTGGAACTAATGACCTTAGTATAATACATACTGGAACTGAATGGTGAGAGAGGAGAATCAAAAGATGTAACAGTTGATGGTGGTCCACTGAAGCGGTCATATATATCATAAGGATTCTTCTGCTTCTTGGGCTCTGCAAACACAGCTTTGTATGATCGATCACAGCCCTCAAATGCTTTAGCAGCATGTGATACCCTGTAAAACAAAACTGCAGTGAACTCCTTTTATACATTGGAGGAATATTTTAATAGATGACAATGGCAACATTATGCAAAGGGTAATTTATATATTTAACTTTTTAATTTGATTTATATTACAAACATATTGACAACTGCTTGACTTATAAGCAAGATGAGTTTATACTACTGGACGATTTCTATATCTGTTGGTTGTATAACTGTGTAAGGATTTTATGAAAAGAATGATGTGAAACTGACCAAGTAACTTCATTTTATCTGTAATAATACTTCTTATCTGATTAGTTGTCAATATTATTATCCATATAACTTATCACCCTTATTTCATATTGCATATTGATTACTGTGACACTGTGCAAACTTTTCAAATTGTTTTATATTGTAAACATATTGACAACTGCTTCATTATAAGCAAGATGAGTTCATACTACTTGACGATTTCTATATCTGTTCGGTTGTTTAAACCATGTAAGGATTTTATGGAATGTGAATAAATGAATGAATGAATATACATATTCATCAAGTTCAATTATATACCTGATGGTCACTAGCTTCAAAATAAGTTACATGAAAACTTCATAATATTCAGCTCATTAGTGGTCACAGCTTTTATTTTAAATGTTTTCATACTTACTCAATGTTTTTTTTAAATACACGCTAAACCACAGTAACATTATGCTCCAAAATTTTGACCAATATTAAATTAGGTCTGTAACTTTTTGTGAGAATTCTTTACCAAATGTCATTAAAATCTGTTCACAAGCATATACATACATAACTTTCAACACAATCTAGGTACAGATTTGCCATATGTTAAAAGTTTAGAACACATTTCAGCCTTTTGACTATCATCAGGTAATATACAAGTACCCTAATTTATATGCTCTTTCACAACACTGGAAAATGTTTACATATGGGTTATTTTGCATTGTTTGCTATTCAGTTATAGTGCAATGCCTTTGTACACACATTACAAGGTATCTATATTATAAATTGGCAGAATTTCTGACAATCTGTAGTTGAGGAGATAAATGGGGTGTTTTGGTGTTTAAACAAAATAATCCCAAAGTTAGAAAAACCAAACACATACAGCCCACCCAGTGTGGACTACCTGCACCCTACAGCAAGCAAATTACAATAGTCTCTCATATTGTAACTAAAATATTTCACAGATATCTACATGACATAAAATATATCTAATCATTTTGGGAGACATAATCAAAGCTGTGACAGTATAATGAGGTGTGGTAAAACAACGACCTTCTGCATTGTGCTAATGCTTCCAACAAAGTCTGCATCATCCCAATCATCTCTGTATTAGGCAAGGATAAGAGGCTTAAAGTAAACATATTACATTCATAAAACACAATCATGTGCATCTAATAACATCAATATCAAACAAACAGGGTTCACATTCTTTCACTGCTATGGGTGAAATATTTATGTAAAGCATGCAGAATACGTAACATTAATATTTTATTCAATTAAATTCCACAGACAAAAGAACAGATTTAAAAATGTACTGTAATGAAATTATGAATTACATCTATTAACATGCATGTACATGTGTATATGTGATGTGTACATGTGATATGTATGTTAGTGGTTTTTGCCCACCATGTGACCTTAGATAGAAGGCATGGTAAATCATACACAATACTTACTTGTGAAACTTCACGTACGCAAATCCTTTGCTTTCCTTAGTTTCCCTATCCTTAACAACAGAAACATAATCTATATCTCCAAACTGCTTGAAATGATCTCGCAACATCTGATCAGTTGTTGTTTTGGGTACAACACAGAATAATCGTAATAATCTTTCTTCCTCGTTCATTTCACGCTTTGAGCCCTGATCACGACTGAAAAAGAAATAGTAATACAATATGGAGCCAAGTAACAGCTGGCCTCAACAATTTGTGTATATTTTGAGGCATGTCAGGTTTGACAATTTTGTACACCTAAACATATTTGAAGTTAAAGTCCAATACTTGAACCAGATTAAAATCAGATAAAACCGTATACCTCCAAGGCTATAATGGGGGCTGATAAGGCAAACTGGCAGTTACATTCTAAATTTGAACAAATGATGATATTATGTTCATGTCACACAACTGCTGTTTCAGCATTCACTCCCATATACCAACTTCAGACATGTTCTTCTATGAAAGTAGGTTCCAAAATGGTTATATATTTCTAGACATTACACAGTACAATTTAATGTTCCTTGTTAACAACAAACCTCTAACCTCTACAAACATTTTGTAGTACACAACTTTACATACTGTAACGTAAATATCACCAGTGGTATTAGAACCTTGTAGATGAAATTACTGCTAAGAAATTAACAGCAACCTACAACAAACAAAAATAATGTAACACAATGCTTCCAGAATTATGGCACAAACTAGTCTACCACTAAGATCAAAGCTTGCATGTTCAGGGCTTTGTTCAATTCAGCGCACACTTTTCCACTTCCCAATCTCAAACTTCTCATGTGGGTCAGTATTTTGTGGAAGAAAATAACAGGTGAATCTTCCACATTCAAAGTCCACAAACAAAGGAGATGCAACATTCCCCCCACGTGGTCATAATTAATATAAGATATACAGAGTGTCCCAGGAGGAATGGACCAAATTTCGGGAGGGTGTTCCTTATGTTAAAGTATGCCGATATAACCAAAACACCTATGTCCAAAGTTGAACGGTTACAGAGATAATGGCCAGAGAAGTGTCAAACTTTGACCGGCGTTGCACACTTGTTGATTACAAAATACATATTAAAACTGGCAGGAATATGTGGATTCTGTAATGTTAATAATGTACGTAACATCAAACTAACTTGTGAATAACATGAAGCCATAAAATTGAAGTACAAAATACTCGCTTGCCATGTCATAATTGTCCTTGGGGTTTCCAAGCACTATACATGACACATGAATGGCAAGCACTGACGTAACGTGCTGACTGCGCGTTCTGATAAAGCCAACCACATACGTTCGGCTAGGGTGAATCACGGCACTCAAGGACAAACATAGATAAGGCCTCTCAGCTGAGAGGTACAGTGCGTGGACCTGCCAGAAGACCACACTTTTCTTGGGCCATTATCTCCGTAACCGTTCAACTTTGGACATAGGTGTTTTGGGTTATATCAGCATACTTTAACATAAGGAACACCCTTCCGAAGTTTGGTCCATTCCTCCTGGGACACCCTGTATATCAACATTAACATGGAATCGCCAGAGATATATCCAAGTATCCCTGGCATTACAAAATAGCAATACATTTCTATTTGTGACTACAGTCATTTCAATCTGATGTCAGCTGATGACCACTACATTTCTTCCAGTAATTACAACATTCAATCCAAAGAAATACAGTGTTTATGTAATTATTCAAATCTGTTAGTCATATTCCATTTTCCAAAAACATCACACGCAGATATCTGTGATGCTAATGTAGCACAACTGCATCAAAATTTAATTTGACAACACATTACTATTATGAATAAACAAATACTACAAATACACTGGCGATAATACGCCATTTCAATGACTGACGTAAGGCAAGTCAATCAGCAATGAATTTGTGACGCTTACCTATGTGCAATCATGACTTTCAAAGGTCTTGGGTGTGAACCTATACAACACCCATTCATTTCTTCCAGTGCAAGGGCAGCTTCTGAAGTCTTTGAAAACTTGATATAGGTAACACCTAAAACAAATGTCTAATATAGTGCCTAGCACAAAAACGACAATATAACAATCTACACATCTAACTAACATTATTTGGTTACCTTTTGGATCTCCTGTGTTTCTGTCTCTAACGACCCATATTTCTTCAATCGTTCCATATTTCTCGAAGGCACTTCGAAATTCCTCTTCGGTAATATTTTTATTACAAACTATGAACAATCTGGAATTCGGTGGATCATCGAGTTTCGGTTTGACATCTCCACCATCACGATCCTTCTCATCCTTTACATATTTTCTCCTATCAGCCATTTTGTCTTCGTGTTCTCTCACCGCTGCTCACCGCGTTTCAAAACAACAAATCAGCACTTGACTACTTTCCTTTAGCACAACGAAATTTATCTTCGTGATGACAATTATTAGCGTTGGGAATCCAAAGGGAAATTTCGCAACGGAATGATTGCCTTGAAGAGACCGGAGGGCAGTCAAATCGCAATAGAAAGCAACGAAGATGATGGGTAGTTTATGTTTGAGAAAAATTAATACGACGGTATTAATTTAGATTTATACACGTGCTTCATAGTAGTGAACCAGGGAGGCAGAACATGTAGTAGTTAAGCTACGAAACTGCAATTGCTCATGTTTTATTCGCATTCTTCATGTAAGCTGAATTATAAAATTTCTCATTCTGTAAACAGAAGTCAGCGTAGTTTCAACGGTGCAGCGATTATCCACAGACTAAAGTTGCGAGTAATCGGTATTCCCGTCAGGGTAAAGAATGTTCAGACAAACCTGCTTTTCAGTGTGTACCGGTGGTTTTTTCACTGAATTAAAAAGGCTAAAGCGCGTAGCCGACCATCCACACCTAATGCCAAGATTAAGAGTGCATGGAGCGATACCTCTACACCCATATACGCCATCATGGCTGGTGCTTAATTACCATACATGTATTGTAAACATAGTTATAATACTTATTCCACAAAAGCACACTGTTGCAATATAGAAAGTGTTCTGAAACGTCACGTCATTTAGGACACAACACCTTTAGCTGCTGTGTATGTAATCTAATATTTATAACAGACAAAATAAAAATGTTTCAAATTCAAGAGGTCCATGCAGGCGGTATGAGACATTTAATCCTGGATCATTTAATGACATATTGATTGCTTTGAGTATACAGCATCAAATAATAGGATCCATGAATAATGAATGTAGAAAAATATGGAAACGTTTATGCCTTAATTGAAGAAACCTCCTCAGCATCCGCCTGGGTAAATACATAAAGTTTCTGGGGATAGTCAGTCTTCACACCAAAATCTGGACCCAGAACCTCCTGAAAGCAAAACAGGGGTGCTATTTTTTTTTTCTGCTGGCACATGTAGGCAATGCAAGATGAGCACAAATCAGTTGCCAACATTACAGCCTACCAAAAGCCAATGTAAATAAAATTATTCACGATCCCCCTCAAAATAAAATATATCCATTAACGGTAAACAGTTGAAGTGGCACTGAACAAATTGACTTGTTTTTTTTTCACAACCTATAACTCCATGTTTCTTCCCGACACATCTGCATCGCTCCTTTAGATCTGATTTCATCCCATTTATTGGACTATTTGACCTTTTAGTATTTTTTGTGCTCTTTTTCCTTTCCCAGATCTTCCATATAAGTTTCCCGCACATTGTTCCCTTTTAGTCCTGAGACAAAAATTTACTCTTCTTGTTTCACTTTTTATTGGCTTTCTTTCCACCCAAATGGTAAACACATACTGTTAAGTAACAAGGGCTGTGAGGTAGTCACATCATCTCAAATATGGAGACAATACAGCCCAGTTCTACAAGGTGTCACCACCCCAAAAGCAGGATTAACATCAGTACTGAACTCCTGTGAAATCCTCAAATTGTCTGTTAGAACAATATATTTAAGGAGAATTAATGATGTCAGTACAAACAGTAGTCACATTCCACTGGAGGATTCTTTTATTGTGCTGCCACTATTACAGAATCTGCAAGCACATTTCACGTACATTGCATAATGCATCACTGTACAGAGATAACACAATGACAATGCATTTACATGGAACTGAAGTACACGCTACAAATACAAAGGCATCCCGCTTCATGGAGTGTCTGTAGACGCAAACCCTTCCAGCATTATACCTATTCCATGTCCTGTGCTTATTTTTTTACCATTTCTGGGCTTGAAACAGCTTATATCCTGAAATTTAATCTTATTTTGGGGGAGGGGGGGAGACTAATAGATTCTCATAACATCCAATAATTTGAAATCCAATTTTTGCATAACAAAATATTTTTAAGATTTCCATGTGTCATTTCTTTCTGCATTCAATAAGCTAAGACTAGTGTCCACAGGAAATGTTTTCCATAGTTGTGTGTATTCACTTGCATCTGTACTGAATTATTTCTAATAAGCATTACTGAAAAAATTACTCATCTTTCTCGTCCAGATCCGTATTCCTTGTACAAATGTGTAACTGGAAACTTTATGTAACATCAAATGAGTTGTAAGAATAAACATGACTGACTGGTAGTGCTCATATCCTATGAGAAGGTACCATTACAACATTTCTGGAATGATCATGTCATGGTTAAAGGTATGACTACAGAATTTTAGAGTTATCATGTCCTATTTGAAGGTATCATTACACCATTTGGCAGTGATCATGTCTTATCTGAACATGTCATTAATGCATTTGGGAGTGCCAATGTCCTATTTGAAGATATGAGGTTTTCACAGCAGTGACTATGTAGAATGGTATCTGGGATGTGGCGCCTTTTAGATCGTCTGAACCGATGTTCCTCCAAAATGTCAGTTCAGACAAGATCTACATGGCGCCACATCCCAGAAGATGGTATTCTTCCTATTTGAAGTTCCTTCATAGGACTTTGGAGCAATCATGGCATATATGAAAGTACCATTACAGCATTTGCCTGGAGAGAAACTATGACAGAGCCAAGTCAGTGAAGCTCCCTGTCTGAGATGTATTAATAGACAGAATTAGCATGCTCAGTTTGGAGGGCATACAGTGTATGACAGTTCCATAAAGACTTCAGACAACAGCCAACATGTGTGCTTACATTCACCACACTTGATTTAAGTATTTCAAGCAATGTTCAACAAAATGGGAGTGGAAAGATGCAGTCAGTGGCCTTCTCTATACCTGAACAAAAATTTTGTAAATTTCTGAATATGGGCCATTATACACAATATATTTTTCATCATCAGCCTCACTGTGCTCACAGAACAAGTGGTGGCAACTAAATAAACAAAAGAGAAAGTGGGGGAAACAGCAGTGTGGTCGAGGTAACTCTCAATACGAAGCCAGTAGAATAAAAAAACGCTACCTGCGACAGCAATCATGCTGAGAACACATCAATATTTTGCTGGGTCATATAAACTTATGACAAAGATATGTGAATGTTCCATAAAATTGCTCTCTGGTTTTCAGTTCTTTTCATTTCAGATTCTAGATTTAAAATGCAACATTTCCCAGATAGGTGTTTTAAAGTGTAATACAGCCCTTATATGATTTGTTCTACACAAAGCCAGACAGCAGACTCATCTGCTTCACCTCACTGCACATCATCTGACTCTTCCAGCTGTGTGTGTGACTTCACCCAGAGAACAGAATATTGTTTCTGAGACTGCCATGACACCTGGAATTAGCAGATTCTAAAGGGTTCTGATGATGGTGCTTAACACTCAGAAGTACCTTATTTTTGGACTTTTTCTTTCTAAGGGACCCAACAGAGTACATATCTTCCCCTCACCTGGAGACAGAAACAGATCCAGTTTCCAAAACGTTGTGTTCTCTAGTTTTTAGGATACTGGATGCTGGACAAAGTCAAAAATCCACTAATCCTGGAATGAGGTTTAACAGACCTAACTAGCCTGTACACGGTATCTTTCCACCTTCTGGACATCTCCCTAAGCAACTTCTTTCCATCAGGTTTCAGTCTGACAGTCTTAATGGGAGAACTGTGTCCTGTAGCAGAACTCAAGTATTGATAACAGGAACAACTCAAAAGTACACCCAAAAAGATAAAGGAATAAAGAGCTGGGTAAATCTCAGGGAGCTTGTTACCATTTAGTTCAGAATGTTTTGTCTTCCTATCTCTTACCTACAAAGGCAGAAATTCAAACAAGCTATTAAGATACAGATATTTATAATTTTGCTTGTTATATTTTATAGGTATGAAACTTAGTCTCCCACTCTAAAAAGGAAGAAACATTGATTGAGAGATTTTGAGAACAGGGTGCTGGGGAGAATATTTAAACTAGCAGAGAAAATAACCACAGCCTTCTGAAATTCAATAATGAGGTGCCCCATAATTTGTATATTTCCAACTATTATTAGAATGACAGTCATTTAGGCAACACTGGAAAGACATATAAAATTTTTGCCAGAAATTTGAGGGAAGAGATCACTTGGGAAAGAAGAAAGGAAAATAACACATTGAATTAATAGCATGTGAGGATATGGACTGGATTCATCTGACACAGGATGAGGTCCAGTTGTGAGCTTTTGTGAACACAGTAACAAACCTCCAGGTTATATAAGTGGCAGGAAACTTCTTGTATACCTGAGCAACTGTTAACTTCTCAAAAAGGATTCCCTCTATTAAGTTAGTAGGACTGTATCAGCTCAGTGTTTCAACATTTTGCATCCATTCTCTTCTGAATCACAAGACAGAATTTGGTGTGTCTAAAGTTTGTAACAAACAATATAGAATAACCTTTTATGAATAAAAAGAATAAAATCTTCTGCCTGAATATGATGCCAGAGTGGGAAGAGTCATTATATGTCACAAACACAATTCCTCTGATAAGGCTCTGATAACTGAGTCATGGTGGGATAAATTATATTTAGTGCTAGTGGGAATGTTGCAGCTAGAAGCCCATTCAGAAAGTACTGACTACCACAGAACCTATCACTTACTGACCAACAAGAATCTGGTAGGTTTTGTTTTGACTCTCAATATAAAACATAATGTGACTCATTTTTATGATAAAAATGTGCAGTTGCAGTAAGAAAGTCAATAAACATAAAACGAAATAATAAATGTCATATAGTGACAACTCATCACCTGAAAACAAGATCAGTCTCCAAACACAATGTTACGAATATGGTATTGCCACAGACCTACAGGAAATAGTCCTATCTTGTTAAATATTCTTCAAATTGAAAAATGTTCACAACAAGAAAAAGTAACAGAATTTTGAAATCCTTCACAAATTAAAATTTGGGTGGGGGGAGGTACAGAGCAATAAAAAATGTATGGGCTTTTCCGCTCTTTTTTTAAAGACTACTTTGACAGAAGTCAAAGTTCTTTCATTCAGAATTATGAACTATTACTGGCTTGTCTCAAGAGTAATTAAATTCCTTAGTGGATATTTTAAAGCAGAAAATAAACTTTCATACAAATCAGAGTATTATCATAAAAAAAAAACATACCCATAGTTTGTAAGATGTACAGCAGTTTTGTAGCTCACTACTTGAAATCACTTGCCTGTATGGGTTCAAATATCAAAATTTAATTCAGTTTTTTCTTTTCTCAGTCTATCTACATTAAGAAAGTCCAAGATGTGGGATCCAAGGTTTCTGCAGGCATGTGCTCCTGCCTTAATCACTACTTATTAACAAATGTTTTCACTTTACAAAATGAGCATGTTGGCATTGTCCACATTCTGAGATATGTCTAACATAAATAATATTTTGTGACTTGCTCTATTCCTGTGTCATCATTATATCATAACTTATATGTACTTTCTATTTAAAAGTAGGCTTACCCTTTCTGAATGAAACCAAGACCACCGTACTGAAACAAGTTCCAAATTTTATTCTGGTTCCAGCCAAAAAGAAAGTAAATATAATAAAAATTAAAATATACTACATTATTTCTATATGAACCAGCAGGTTCAACACTGTTAACATACCAAAAACATGAGGATTTTATAGTAGTGAGAATTTAGGCTGTCTTCTGAGGGATACTGTGCAGCCTGGTAGGCAATTACCAACATACTAGAGTAAGCTGTTGCCTCCATCTTCAGCATAAAGGATAGTAAGTAATTGTCAACGTTTTCAATGAACCTGCCAGCTCCATATTCTACCCTAATGATAAGATGCAGAAGGTTCCTCTGGAATAATGATAACATATAAGACTACGGAATGTCAAAATATAGAAGACTACAATTCAAATAACAGACCAGAATTTGACTTAATCTGAGCCAGCTCATTCCAATTCATGTTTCAAAATTTATTTCTGTAAGATTAACCGAAGTAATTCAAATATTCTGTAAATATAATGGAAAACCAAACATGAAGACTGTAGATGATCCAACTCCTGAAACAATGTATGTATCAGGTATACCTCAAACAATGGATAATATATAATTATGTCTGAATATTACATACCCAAGTTAGAGAATCATTCTTTCTGTTACAACGTTATTTCATTAAAAAATGTATGCAAGTTTGCTGAATAACATATTATAACAAAAGTCACAAGACCAAGAAGAGTGCTGAACAGTTTGCTTCTGCAGACTACAAAAAGAAACCACCTGAAAATAAGTCTCTCTTCAATGTCTACAGATCCTTCCACTGGTAAATATTCTTTCTCTTTAAACATAATTTACCGTGTCAGCAAGAAACCACAAAACCTAGTATAGAATAATTTTATGCAGGATGCACAAAATGGTAATTCCCTGTCACATCTGCCAAATGTTGTAACTAGCAACATTTGGATCAGAGTCATATACATAAATATACACATTCAAGTGCCAAAAGTCCTGGGATAGCAGTATGTAAATTTATTTTTAAGTGGCACCACCATCCCTTGACGGCTTGGGAATGCCCAGAGCAGTATCAGTTATGAGGTGTTCTCTCGTGAGTCAGGTTGAACACCGGCCAGTCTGCTCACGGCAAGCCGACGTTAATTATCGGAGTTTGAATGGGACATGATAGTGGGTGCCAGGTGGATGGGACATTCCATTTCTGAAGTTGTGCGGTCATTCAATACTCCTCGATCCACGGTGTCACTTATGTACCGGGAATACCTTGTTGAAGGCATTTCCATCCACCATGGACAGCACAGTGGCCAACCATGGGTGCTTAATGATCATGACCAGCGGCGGCTAGCTAGAATTGTCCATGGTAAGACAAGCGACACTGGCTGAAAACACATCCACATTCAATGCAGGACGTACCAGACGCATATCCAGCAGGTCAGTGCAGCGTTCTTTAGCTTCCATGGGATATGGGCGCAGAAGACCGACCAGAGTGCCTCTGTTAACACCACGACACCAGACACAGCACCTCACCCGGGCTTGTGACGTCGCTAATTGGACCCTGTAGGATTGGCAACATGTAGCGCGGACCGATGAGCCATGGTACCAGTTGTTTCATGCGGATGGTAGGGTTTGGGTGTGGCACAGACCCCCATGAGGCCACGGACCCCAGTTGTCAACAAGGCACTGTGCAGGCTGGTGGTGGTTCCATACTGGTGTGGGGTGTGTTCACGTGGCATGAGTTGGGTCCGCTCATCCACCTAAACATGTCATTGACTGGTGACCGCTACGTTACACTGCTTGGTGACCATTTGCAGCCCTTCATGGACTTCATATACCCCCACAACGATGGGATAGTCCAGCAGGACAATGCACCATGTCATCAGGCCGGAATTGTCCAGAATTGGTTCGAGGAGCATTCTGGAGAGTTCCAACGAATGGTATGGCCACCACGTTCGCCCGACATGAACGCAATCGAGCATTTATGGGACGTGGTGCAGAGGTCCATTCGCACCCAAAATCCTGCACCTACAAATACCAGGGAGCTGTGGGCAGCTATCCAGATGGCATGGCTCAACATCTCTCCAGAGTTCTTCCATCCACTTGTGGAATCGATGCCACGTTGAGTTGCTGCACTTCGCTGGGTTAGAGGGGGTCCTAAATGATACTAGGTACCTATCCTATGACTTCTGGCACTTCAGTGTATATAAGGAGGATTCAATATAAAATACTGGAATCACTCCCTCACAACCAAAGTTACTCCGTCATTATACTATCGTCATCACACTCAAATATCTGTCAGAAACACACCAAAGAAGTTTTACAGTCAATGAAACAAGAAGATGTAACAGCCTGGAAGTTAAATAATAAAAATTTTACAGATTGGTCTACTAGTAAGAACAGGTTACATAGTATATTTACATCACTGTCATGTTTTGTTCTTCAATTTACAATGTATTGCAGATCCAATACAATGGCTTCCATACATCACAGAGTTTACATCCGTTACAGTCAACACCTCGACCATGCCTGGAATCTATCATTGTGAATGCCATCAGACTGCAATGCCACACTACCTGAAATTGGCAAGACTACAGAAACACTGCCTCTGTGCCAGTAGTGTAACTTAATCTTATAATTCAACACTGATTCTTTAAGACGTCCACATTCATATTCGTAGTGTTGCTATACACTAAAGTGTAAAGTGTAATGTTCCTTCCATTCATCAACTTACAGGCATGCCTCTTTCCAACTTCAAATTATTAAAAGATGGACCAAAAATAAATTCACATAAAAAGTTAACAAATGTCTATGCAGAATTGTCCTCCATTTTAAACCTTTGTTGACTTGCTTCATTATAACATCACATAATCAGAAAAAATGTTGCTAGAAGTAGTCTTGACGTCACTTTTTCTTCAACCGACTACAAATCCATTCCAGGCCTTGGTATAATCTAAAAGGAAACATAAGAAACTGAAACTCTGAGAATATGAGGAATATCACAACCAACTGTCCTTAGTTACTGGCATCAAAATACATCTCAGAGTAATGAAATCCCCTCTATGGGTACTCCAGTCTCATAAATGAATTCCCTCACTTTACCTACTGGACAGAGGATTGGAAAAATGCCTGCATCTGCCATGACCACCAATAGATTAAAAAAAAACTGTTTCTTTGGGGGGTGGGGGGAGAACACTCCTACAAATGCTTCCACCTCTGAACCAAGGACAGATATCCATGAATTAAAGCTATGGGTTACTTCTCTGAACAAAATACCTGCTGCTAGTACTGATCTCCAAATATTTATAAATTAACAAACATTATTAGCTCAAAGGTTTGTGTTTCATGCCCACTATGATGATACATCAACTACTGTCACCAAATTAAAGAATGCTTAGTCACCTGGTCACAATCTATCTTTTTTTTTCTTTTGGTGCTACAGCCCCAATTTGGGCCTTGGCCTACCTCCATGAAACTCTCCCATTTACTTCAGTTTACTAGATCTTAGACATTCAGTAGGACTCCTTGGGTTGGTGATCACCTTGTCACAAGGCCTCTACGGACACACACACATACAAACACTAAACACCCAGGCCCAGAATGGGATTCGAACCCACAATCCCAGCTTCCGAGCGAGCGAAGACAGTGCATACCTTAGACTGCTCAGCTACTGTGACCGGTGGTCACCATCACCGTACACAATTTCAAGAACTGTTACTTAGACCTCAAAAGATTACAAGTTAACATGGTATTTAGATGCCAGGCAACTAAATTAGAAATGGACAAGGTCACACAAAGCCTTATGAAGGCTAAAGTAACATTATTTTGGACACTGACATTTGAGTGTACAATGTGGGAAGCACCAAAACATATATTTTCAACCCTCTGACATCAAACTGTTATTTTAGAGATAGTGCATGTATTACTTACCAAATGGTCACATTAGTGACAATCATACACATGATACTGAGAAGCCCATTATAGAAGGCATGCATGCACATCTGGTGTAAATACTGGATTTCATAATGAACTGCTGTGCCTTGAGTTGCTTATGGTCAAATTTGTATTTTAGTTTGTTTAACCATGCTGTCAGAAGCTCAGGCTATATAATGTTGAATGGCAGGGTAATTAGTGAATAATAAATGATAAAATATGTAAAAGGGAGTAATAATGGCTTAATAGAGGTATTATACAAGTATTTTCATGTAGGGACTGAGGAAAACCATGATAATCGTCAGAGAGGACAGTAGGTATCTAGCAAAGATTTTATATGGACACCTTCTGAATACGCGCGAGAAATACACAACTTGCACTAACTCATCTGTGGTGTAAGGTAAAAAATCAATGAACCCAAGAAGAAATATCAGAAAATACTGTAGCGTGGATGGCGCAACAGGAAGTAGGGGTCATGTGAACTCTGCATTTCCATGAGTGCCATCACGTACCCCCACTTCTCCCATCATTACGCAACACTCGGTAAACAACCCTCCCCGCTAGGCTGTGACGTCACGCAACAGGAGAGTCCGTTCAGTGACTACTGCTAGGCAATGCACAGGTAGAAACACCTGACAATACCTGATATCCATTGCCGAGCAGCAATGTGTTCTCTATGTTGTCTGTGCCGATCCTAAATAAGGAGCAGCGAACACTATTCAGGAGTAGTGAGTATTGAGCCAGTTACTAGTATTCAGTATGAGTTAAAGTTCAGCAGCTACTAGCTGAGTTGTATCGAGTGCATGGCAGGGACTCCAGCAGGAGAAGTATTTGTGAAGAAACTGTGAACTGTGTAAATGTAAGGGCAAATGTGCAATAAATTCACTATATCCAATACGGCGTGAAGTCATTTGTCGTGTTACATACCCAACACGTGACAACACTTTACCATAACTAAACTGCATGTGCATATCTCATATTATAAAAAACCAGCAGAAGACTGTCTGCATTCTGAATCAAGGAGCTGACTTTTTAGGTACAATGTGCAGCAAAAAATGCAGACTTAATGTCCTTAAGGAGTAATTTATGCTTTTTGACATGGTTCTGTTTCTGGTCTCTGCACAAAATAGTTATGAAGACATAGGTATTTATATGATATTCATGCAAATAAGAGTTTAGAGAATCTTAATAATTTCAGCAGTTCCACAATCATGTAGGTCGTTTAATTTAGGCTTAAAAATTAAAGCTGTGTAGTAATTCAGAAGTCTATACAAGAGGGTACCCACTGCTGCCCTACTCTGGGACCAACCCTGATGCCAAGAGCACATCCATATGGAATTTACGAATTTACGTATAACCTGATGTGAAATTTCATGACAGTATGTAACAGCATGTTCACATACAATGACATGTCAGCGTTTTGGATATACTACATTGAATAAGAAGTAGCTCTCTTTGATGTGCCTTGAGAAAAGCTTTAAGAATCTTCTCACCCTTCTCCTGTGAGAGCACAACAGGACTGAATCTGCCACTGATGCTTTTTTATCGATGTGAGATCCAGCCGTTTGCTAATTTCTGCTGCAGACATGGAGCCTTTCAGGTCCTGTTTATTGGCATATATGAGAACAGCTGCTTTTGACAGCTCTTCATGAGCCAGCATTCGGTACAGTTCTTCTCTCGTCACTGCTAGACGCTCACGATCTGTCGAATCAATAACCACGATCACAAACTGTGGACAAAGAATAACTTTAAGTTTTGTTGTTGTTGTTGTGTTTTTGTTTTTTCTGCTACCATGAAGTTTTGCATAAAAATCTGTGTTACAAGTAATGACCCACCAAAGGATCCAGAAATATGCTTCTCATTCAGTCATGAATTAATGGAGATCCATGGTGACTACATTTTGAATTCAGTCCATGTTTCAAACTCAATAAACAAATAATGTTCCCTTTGTTCCTGAAATTTTTGAAAAAGTGCAGATTTTACCGAAATAAAAATATATTTTCATATGAATCACACTGTGACTACAGGTGAGTAAATTTTCTGAACTGAAAGATTTAAGATGTACTAGGATATCTGAAACCCTCATTTATATTGATATGAGCAGACTATGATGATAAGGGCAAAGAGATTTTGTGATGTGCCTAGGCAGATTTATTTCTGGAGTGTTAGTTCCACTATACCAACTGTCATGCACCCAGAAAAGATATCCACTGCTAGGTAACGACACAGTAAACATACTTCTGCGGAAACAAATAACCATACAACAAGAGAGGAATTGTTGGAATCAATGTTTTCTACGCAGTCCATGCTGGGCTTATATAAAAAGAACGAGCCAGAGTTTGCAGTCAGTCAAGAATATGAGGGAGTTTCCATCCTGGGTTAGCTGTGGGAGTCGCCAGTCAGCAAGGACAAGAGCCACTGAGCACAGAAACTGAGCCGTAACCTAGCAATGGATAGTGAAGATGAAATGAGAAGAATTAGAGGGCGCTATATTGAATTGTAATGTATGTAGATTAGAGACAGGATTATAATTATTTGTAGTTACGAATTATAAAGTTCAATAAATTCAACTACCAATGCAAATTCCATGTCTAGTTGCCAAATCGTGACAATATGCATAATTCTATAATCAATATTGGCACCATGACATTTATAATGCCCTTCAGAACAATAATATTCACCAAAGTTCCACTTCTGCACAATGTTTCAGAATGGCCTCTTGAATAGATACGATTCCATTCCCAGCTTGATGATAATACACTACAGACATGATACCTCTGTGTTACTGTAGTAAGTGCTCCATGCAGCCCTCAGTGATTGCTGACCACCCAAGTCCCACATGATGAAGTGGATGTTCTTCCAAACAACTTCCTCAACATTTGAACCTATCGTTGGAGACGTGTGAACAACTTCATTCATCAGGTACTGGTAGAGTATTGTGGTCTTTCCTGCATTGTCCAGTCCCACCATGACAATCTTGTGCTCTGTGGAACACAAATCATTTCATGCAGAATTCACTTAAGCCTCTCCCCACTAGCATGAACTAACCAAGATGATGAGGTAGATTTTATAAAACAGCGTGACATTCCTGCATACCCAGCAGCACTAGGTTTGGCAATTATGAGGGCTAACTCTTTGATTATGGGTTTAAAATAATAAATACATATGCATTTATTTAGATATCTGTGATATAAGAACTAGCTGAAGGTACAAATCTACACAAAACTTCTTAAGCATAAAAACATAAACGAAGACCCATGATAAAGAATCTGGGAACCTTAATTCATCAACAGTGTCCAACAATGCTGAATCAAGAGTGAAGCTTTGTAGGATCTGAGGTTCTCACAGCAGTGGTTATGAAGAGTTCCACCTTCTGGGATATAACACTATGTAGGATCTGAGGCTCTCACAGCGGTGATTATGAAGAGTTCTCTCTTCTGGGATATAGTGCTATGTAGGATCTGAGGTTCTCACAGCGGTGGTTGTGAAGAAAATGAATTCACAATTTTTTTATCTACTACCATCCAAATCCCACAGAAGGTAAAATTAAAAAATTATATTATGAAACACAGTGACTAGATTTGTTTCTCCTACTTCAAAAGGTTAATGAAACTTTTATCTTACCTTCATTACCAAACAAGCTCCAAATTTTTGTAAACAACAGCCCCATGTTTGTCTTTACTCCTGCTCAATGATGCTAGAGTTTCCAACACAGTGCATACAGTGTAACTGAAAGAATAGGAAGGAATAAAAACAATATCACAACAGCTCTAATTATATACAAAATAGACTACAGGCTGCAGGTGGTTTGTTGCTGTCTTACCTACATCCTTCTGTTTCCTGAGCTACAACATGAAAACTACATATCACTCAGAAGTCATACTTTCAAGCTCCTCACATAATATTACACTGACAGCAGAAATGTGGAAGACAGACTTTAATCTGGTCTTAATTTCCTTGTGAGGCAGTTTACTCACCCTCTTCACAAATGAATATTGTAATAATGCCTTTTCAATTCTTCCTTATTCTTCCTAGGCAAATATTAACCAATCAGTTATACAAATTATTACAAATATATACAGGGTGTTTCACGACTTTAGGCATAACTGCAAGAGGTGATTTCCTAGGTCTTTGTGATCAAAAAAGTTCATATAAACATGTGTCCAATTTTGGACGGTTACGGAGTTATGACCGTTTTTTATTCCCGTACACGCCCTCGTGTGAACCGCATCTATCATCTGGCGGGTGGCTATTTTTAGCCAGCTACAGACAGAGCGTTCTTGTTATCTCGACATTTGAGAGGTACCTAGGGCGTGGTGGGTTGGTATGTCCAGCCACGGCTAGTGTGGTGGCTACTGGTGTTCAGAACAGTTCTCATCTCGGTGCGTCTGTTACGTTCACGATGCCATTTACATTTTCATTTGAGGAGTATGCAGATATGATTTATGTGTACGGGTTTTGTGACGGTAACTCAGTTCTTGCCATAGCTGAATATCAGCAACGGTTTCCGAATCGCAGAATACCGAACCGGAGAGTTTTTACTGGAGTTTACAAGGCATTGCGAGATACCGGTAGACTTCCCGGCGTTCGTATTGCAGCCGAGCGTGGTGTTAATGAAGAAGGCATTGTTCGTATGGCACACTGCAGTCCATGTACGAGTACGCGAAGAATTGCCCGCCAGGTCTCCAGTCTTAAGCCCACTGGATTATTGTGTGTGGGGATGGTTGAAAGAACTGGTTTACAATGTGAAGGTGGCAACGCGAGATGCTTTGCTCGGTCGCATTGTGGACGCCGCTGACCACGTAAGAAACAGCAAGCTGAAGCAGCAACGTGCTACCCGCGCGGTTCACAACCGAGCGGCAGCCAGTGTTGCGGCCGGCAGTGGCATTTTCGAAAATCAGCTTTAAGCACCAATCAATTCAAATTAAAGGTAATTTCACGAAGTTAACTTTACATTCATACTTTGAATGTATCATGTATTTTGCTGGTTTATTATTTTGTTCCGTTTAT